TTGAGACAAAAGTGGGTATACCTTCTTAAGATGCATTTCCCGGGTTTTATAATTTTAGAATGCCATCTGTTGGTTTTTCAAAGGTGCTTTGAAATTGGGTCCTAATAGTAGCACCAACATTTATAACACAAATTGTTACAAACTTAATGATAAACTCCATTCCTTGGTTTTAAAAATATCTTCAAAATAATAATTTATTTAATATAGGGGGAGCTTGCTGTCTTTTGAATACCAGACCTAAAATTATAAAATATAAAATTGCATACCATAGACTAAGTCTTAGAATTGGTAATAAAATAGAGCATTTGATTTAAAAGGAGGGGACAGAAAAATTAAAAACTCCCACAACTATGAAATACATAATATTAAATAAAAATCATGTCATATTTTCATAGTTAAGGATATCAGAAGCTTGTTTTTAAGTCTGTTAAAGTTCAAAATGAATAGTAACTTGACCTTTACAAATTACCAGAGAAAAATACATACTAAAAATGATTCAAACGTAGGTCTCTTTCACTTGTGATCTTTCTCTAATGGGAGCTCTATTACAATTTAATGCAATATCACCTAATATCTTTTCTTGAAAATAGCTTTTGCTTCTCTGGAACTTGTAACCAAAATCATTACCCTGGTATTTTTCTTTGGAGTTTTATTAAATAAGCCAAATACCTTTTCCTCCAAAAGGTATTCCTTTTTTGAGGGGAGGAGCAGATGGTCCATAAAATAGGAAGAGGTGGGTAGTTTTCAAGCTCAGAGTTACATGTTCAAAAGTAAATTTAATATATTATGTTTCACTTTACTCAGTTTTCTCATTACTTTCCATCATCTTTAGCTTCCAGTTTTGCACCATGGAAACCATTTTATGTATTTCTTTCCCATCTGTCACAAATCTTTGCTCCTGTGCGTTTCCATCTCTTCTCAAGCTGCTTTACCTTACAAAGGAATGTCCATAGTTGGCAACACCTTCTTTTCAAAAATTTATTATTTTTTTCTTTTCTGGTTCAAAAGCAGTGGGTGCTTCCTGCTCCCCCACTCGATGCATAACCAAGGCTAAGTTGTTTGACCTCTGAGTCTGCCTCCTCATCTGTGCAAACCTGCGGGTTGGGGGGAGGGTTCCGTAAGCGAATGCCTGTGAGGCATTCAGCACAGTGCGCCGTCATTTAGTAAGTGGTCAATCATTTTCCTATTATGTTTATTTTAGGAAAATTGAAATATGCTGGAAACTACATAGAGGAAAACTTAGCATCACCCAAACTTTTACTACTCTGAGATGACTAATGATGCATATTGATATAATTCAGCCCATTTTTCCTCATACATGTAGTATATAAACTGCTGGGTAACCTGTGTTTCATTATGAACATTTTCCCACATAATTTAGTGCTTTCATAAGATGCTTTTTTTACTGATGTATTTTTAAATTTTATTTTTAACATGTAGTTGACATACCATGACATGACTTTAATAGCTATGTTGTTTTCCGTTGCGTGGACATCTCCCAATTTAATCAACCAGTGTCCAGACATGTCTGCACACAAGTGTATAATGCTTATCTTTGGCTTTTTCTTAAAAACAGATTCCTAGAAAGACATTTGCTAGGCAAAAGGTGTAAACTCTTTAAAGTTTTTGTTACTTTTTTTCATTTTCTGTCCAGAATTCTTTGATTTATAGTACAGTCACAGCGTAAAAGACTAGTTTTCCTTTCTTTCAGATTTTGTACTTGTCTCCTTGCTTTAATCTCATTCTATTTCTGTGCATTTTATCTTTAAAAACATTTCTTTTATTGTTGACACTATTACAGATGTCCCCCATCCCCGCCCACCCCTCTCCACCTTTGCCCACCTCTGCCCAGACCCCCTTCCCCGGGCCTTCACCACACTAGAGTCTGTGCCCACGGGCAATGCATCTACGTTCTTTAGCTAATCCCTTCCCCTTTTATCCAATCCTCCCACCCACTCCTCTCTGGCATTTTTTCAGTGCATTTTAAACTCCACTCAAAGCACATCGTTGCTCAGGCAATATTTGATCATTTATTTTACTCTTTAACATGTTTCAGTTTCCTGTTATTGCGACAAGTCAAAACTCCCTGGTTAACAGGGAGGTCAGACTTCAACTACTTGCTTTTTCCTCCTCTCACTCTTATCAACTTCATTTCTTATTACTTCTCCCTGTGAACTCATATTCATTATTTCCTAGATTACATTTCTTTCCTTCAGTAAGTGCTTCTCACCTCAAAACTGATCTTTAAAACTCCACTAGAATGATTTCCTGATTCTTCTTTTTCATCCCCTATCAATTTCTCTCCCTAGAGGCTGGACAGCACTTAACGGAGCTCATATATTAAATTGATATTTTAATTCATCTCAAGAGTCATGCCTATTTTTGTATTGCTTTGGAAAATGTGTCTTTCCAGTATTTCATGTGTGTGTGTTGTTTGTACATTAAAATTTCAGGTTCCTTTGTGGCAAAGATTTGTTCTTCCAGCAGTGTCAAGTCTAAAGTGCATTACTCAGCAGACACTCAATAAATTGGAACTGGATGGCTGACAGGTTTTCTTTTTAAGATGAATTGTGAAACATTTAGCAGCCTTTAAATTACACTTTGCACTCCAGGTAGCCATTTTTTCTCATGTGCGGTAAATAGCTTTTGTAGCATAATGACCAGTGTCAGTATTCTACCTACCAGGTTCCCAGAATTTAGATCCTCAGTCATTCTGCTCCTTATCTTTTATCCTTTTCACCCATTGGGAACTTCTAAAATCTGCTCACTTAGCAACTTTTAACTACACAACACAGTATTAAGTGTAGTCACCATGCTATACATTGTATCTTCAAGACTTATTCATTTTATAATTGGAACTTTGTGCCTTTTGATCACCTTCACCCATTTTGCAACCTTCCCCCACCTCCGCCTCTGGCAATCACCATTCTATTCTCTGTGAGTTTGGTTTCTGTATTGTTTTCCTTTTTTTAGATTCCACACACAAATGAGGTTGCGCGGTATTTGTTTGACAGCCTGGTTTTAAAGCATAGGAGCATGCTTGAGCATAAGGTTTTAACTGCTGTTTGAACACATTTAGAGCATCATCTCAGTATAAGATGATTTCTTGAAATATCTTGCAAGAATCTAGTATTTTGCTAGAATCATTTATTTTTGCCCCTCCTAAGAATCTTTTCCAATGGAAAGAATTCTAGGTATGAAGTTATACTGTTTTAGAAATGAAATGTCAAAGTATAAATTCAATATAGTAAAAAAAATGGGTCCTGTTTAAAGACCTATATCATGATTTTAGAAGAGTAGGTCAGCGGACACAGTCGGAAGGAGACGTGTGGTGTGCTTTCAGAATACAGAGTACACCAATGTTTGTAAAGTGTGCATTGAATTATTTCCTGTACCTCACAGATATTTCCAAGGGAAAAAAAAATTAAAGACAGGTGTACACTGAATAGCAAGGTAATAGGAATTTAAAAACAGGTATTCTGCAGTATGCCTCTTCATTGTCTAGTGTCAGGAGAAAATTGTTATTAAAGTCTAGAATTAAATATGCTGTGCTAATGTGCTGAGACCATTTACATTTTATGGAATAGCTTTACTTGTTCTGTACTAGGCGGCTGGCAGATAAATTGAACAATGTTTGATGAAATTTTAAAGTTGTGATTTCATCAGCAACTGACTTAGGGATATAAATATAAATCTGGAAATAGAAAGTGTTGTGTGCTCTATTTGGCTACTCTGCAGACGAAAAACGACCTCCCCACCACTTCCCAGTGGACTTTTCCTGGGAAGTCAGTTGTCATTGTTCAGGCAAGTTTTTTCTCATCCTAAATTGTGAAACATTTAAAAGAAAAACTATGAAGTTTACAAAAAACATTTTAAAGATAATGTTTTTAATTACAGAAATTTCAAAAACATATTAAATGAGGCAGATGTGTCTTTTTTTTTAATTCTAGGCCCATACCACAGAAACATTTCTTTTTAATAGTTTCTTTTATTTTGGTTTCTAGTGGTTGTGAGTATAATTTTGAACAATATATGTATGCCTTCATTTATCACATCAACTTCAGACCCTATGCACAGCAAGGAGATGCCAAACTCTTGGCATTTTCAAAAGATATGTTTTAAGAATTTCAATTTCTCTTATTCATACATCCACTCTATCACTTAATTTATCCCTTAAAATTCTGTTTAATTGTGATTCTCAGCTGGAGGGGAGAAGAGTATGCTATTTCCCTAGCCCACCAGAAGAATATACTAGATCTTTGGGAAGGCCCAAGTACACATGCCGTTCTTTCTACTTCCAAGGGAAGCGTGCTTACCTGGTTGAAAATGCCTGCTTCTAACTTCAGATGTTACAAGTTGGGAGTGCATCATGTGATGGTATAGAAGCAGGGGAAAAAACAAAACAAAACAAGTTAAGAATAATGTATATATAAAGGCCAAGACATTTAGGCTGCGAATAGCTCTGTAGATACTTTCTTTTTCCATTTATCCCGTTATTCCATTATCAGCTCGTGTGGAGCGCTTTCCTTTCTTTTCACTTCACAGGAGTTCCTCTGTGAGCATTAAGGAGTAAAGAACAACAAAACAAAGTAGAGTTACGGATGCAACAGTGTAGGTGGACTTAATGCTGAGATGGCCAGCTTCTGCCTTCTAGACAAGGGCAAGTCATATTTATATCCAGTAACGTTACTATTTTGGGGCCTTCAGAGTTCAGTGGAATAGTTGTTGAAAGTTTGAGTGCAAACTCTGTGAATGAAAACTAAATCCATAATCTTTTATATTTCTCAACCTGGGAGAAAACTCTTAGAGGTCTGTGATTCTGCATATTTGAAGATTCCCTTTACTTGTTACAATGGAGACTAAAAATGACAATGACAAGGATATGCTTGTCTAAAAGGTTGGCTCCACAGTGTTTTGAGTTCTCAGTGCAGCTCCTAAGGGGAAGTGAAAAACCTAAGATGAGACATACTAATGGGGCTCTCTACCTGTTTCATTTGCAGACTGCGGCTGAATACGTAAAATCTCGACTCCCTGAGGCCCTTAAACAGCATCTACAGGACTACGAGAAAGACAAAGAAAATAGTGTATTGTCTTACCAGACAATCCTTGAACAGCAGATCCTGTCAATTGACCGGGAAATGCTAGAAAAATTGACTGTATCCTATGACGAAGCAGGTATGTTTGTCTTTGATACACACAGTCACACAATTCTTTTTCCCTGCAGAAATTTCTGTATAGACTAGTTAAATTTAAGTCCTTTTCTGAGATAGAAGATGAAAGGCAAACTGGACTCAAATTTATTTAGCATGGATTAACAGTGAGTTTCTTCTCTGCAGTTTTACTATCAACGATTTCATTAGGAGATTCTTAAAAATGTCTCTTAAATATCAACTTCCTTTTAAATGTTTGCTCTTTTTAAAATAGAATTTTCAGGCCTTTTATCAATCATGTGCTCTTACTGATTTAATCTTTTAAAGTGTCACTTGAATTTTAGATACCAGCTGAAAACTTTTACTGATAACCCAAAAACTGTTATTTGCTTCAGGTATTATTTTTTAATTTCAGAGAATTTCTTTTCTGAAGAGGTGCCATCTTTCTTTTTAAAGTTGGAGCTGAACTTGATTTTCTTTTTCTTTAGCTCCTCCTTTGACTCATAGCCCCTAATAACACACCAGATACTTCCGTTCACTGCCTCCCATAAGTTCATCCTATCTAAGGGCATAGACGGACCTCCTTATAAAACTGTTTTTGTCTATCACATGGTCTGTCAGCTTAAACCCAATTTTAATGAAACCAGTGCAATATTACTTGGAATTATTCAAATCTTTAATAAAATTAAACTTAGGGTAAATATCCAGATTAATTAAAATACTCCCCGCACCCCAACAAAATGGAGAAAAAAGTATAGGAAAATAGGTTTTTAATGGTCAAATCATGGTAGTAGCAATCCCTATTTTAATACTGGGATCTTCTGTTTTTATTTCTACAAAGAAGTTGTTAGTATGCATCTTATTTTCTTTCTCCTGATCTAAGCAGTCTCAGTGCTGACATTCTTAACATTTGATTTCAAACTTGAAGAGCAAACAGAAGAACAAATTAAAAAACAGACAAACATTATGCTACATATGCCTAACCACTAATGTAATTTTTGTAGTTATTAAACTGTCCGCATTTATATTCTACTATCTAACGCCTTTGCATCCCTCTCAGACAGGATCCACATCTCTAGCCTTGCCCAGGAAATCTGTACTTTCTCTGATTCTCTTTGACTTTATTAATTTTCCAGACACATTGCCTTTCTTCTGCCTGCTGTGTGGTTGGTTATTTGGTTTCTGTATTGGCCTTGTTTTTGACATTCCTGTCTTTGGAATTCTCATTCCACTTTTCTCTCATCCCTGATGAAGTGAAGTAAAGTAAGGCTATTACCGGCTGAATCAAAATAATATTTAAATGTTTACAGTGTCTCAAAGATCTTGGGACTCATATACTTCACTTACTTCTGCCCCCATAACCATTTTATGATGAGAAAACTGAGACCCGCAGACTTGCCTGCATTATCACAGTTACTTTGTTGTAGAGCTGGACTCCAACCTCCTATTACAAATCAAGTTGGCTTTCACTGCACTAATGCAGGTTCTCATTCACTCAGTTGGCATTTATTAAATGCAGAGTAACATAGGAGGCACGTGGAAGAAAGAGAGAGGGGTATTGAAGAGGCAGGAAGAATCTGAGATGTCGAAAACACAGATCTTGTTTAAAGTCTATCTGGGGAGCTAAAATACACACGTCTGACTTTTGGATAAAAATTTCTGAGGATTTTGGGAATAAGTGTTCTCTATAATATTCACAAGCTATGAGAGTTAAGCTGAGGGAATGTGGAATAAATCAATAGTGAAAGTGGCTCAAGTTTTCAATGAAGTTCTTTAGGCAAGGACAATGGTTTAAACCCTGAACAGGTTACGGATGTGGGTTTGTGATGATGAGAGAGAGGTGGTCTATGGGATGAAGGGGCCCAAGTAGACACAAGGTGGAAAGGAACACCAGCTGCAACCTCCGGCCACTCAAATTTTGCTTCTTTAGGATAATTTTCTACTCACCGGCAGTGTTGTTGAGCAACTAATAATCTGTAGAGGTACACCTGTATGTGGCCGTTGGGAGCAAATGCTTTGACACAGTATTAATGTATCAATAAATTCTGCAACATGAAACAGTAGAGATCACTGTAGAATTGAGAGTTAGAGAATCTAAATTCCAGGCTTTTCCTCTTAACAGTGATCTTTAGCCAATTAATATCTTAGAGCCTTATGTTTCTTCATAAATTTGGGCTAATAATATCTCACAGGATTATTATGATAAAGTACAGTCAAACCTCAGTTATTGAACATCTTGGTTCTCGAACAAATCGATTCTCAACCAAGTTGTTCATGGGGGAAAAAAATGTCTCAGTTGTCTAACAAAACTTTGGGTCTTGATTCTTTACTGGATAACTCTTTCATGCTGATACCTGTATGGTAAGTCATGTGTCTCTCAGGCTACAATCCAAGGAGATTCTGTTTGGGGGCAAAGTGCTTGTCGAGGCCCCACTGTATATCCTATTTGAGGAAGTCCTTCCAAATCATATTACATATGCCACTAATGCTGAATGAGAGCAGATTTGGATCTTGTCTGTCCCTCAGACCAGTTTAAAATACTCATAGAGTTTTATTCTTGGCATGTAATGTTTGGGGTGGCAGAAGCAAATTTTTAAAAATGATCTTCAGAAGCTTTGAGAAGTCAAGCAACATCTATTGTTAAATCAGCCACTCTGGGCTCAGTTTGCCGTTGGTCATTTCTGCATTAGGTGGCACATTTGGTAGGAGCTGTGTATGTGTGAATAAGTGAATGTCACTGCATGTTGTAAAAGGAAAACTGCCTTCTCCTGCATTATTTATTAATTAATGACTTCATTCAAAGAACAAAGAGAAAATAAGAAAATTTATTGCTATTTAACAGAAAAACAGTTTATCAGAATATGAAAGAATCAGGAAATAGAACAGAAAAGTAGCAGTAGTGTCTAATACCTCCAGATCTAAACATCTTCAACTAAGACATTCATTTGCTTCAACTGCCTTGCTTTTTTCCATGCTATCCCAATTTTTACTTCCTCATATGCTTAACCCAGCTCTTCCAGTGTTAGGAAATAGTTAATTGTTGGGTTTTTTTAAAAAGATTTTATTTATGTATTTTTAGACAGAGGGGAAGGGAGGGAGAAAGAGAGAGAGAAACATCAATGTGTGGTTGCCTCTCGCATGCCCCCCACCGGGGATGTGACCAGCAACCCAGGTATGTGCTCTGACTGGGAATCAAACCAGCAATGCTTTGGTTCACAGGCCAGCACTCAATCCACTAAGCCACACCAGCCAGGGTGGGAAGTAGTTAACTGTTAATCAGAAGACACCCTTGCCAGGATATAACTGTTTATAACTTTTATAAGTGTTTATAAAAAACAATTATCATATTCCCAACATTGTGTTACACTCTAAGTCAAATAAGCATTCACAGACTGTGCTATAGAATTGACATTTATTTTCATAATGATGACGTTGAATTACAAAGAAAAGTTTCAATAATATTAATTATACTATGTATATGAAAATAGGAATTGTGTAGACCATTTTAGAAACATTTTAATCCAAATAACTTATTTTTAAGTTTTTATTATTATAGTAATAAAAATGTTTTGTGGTATAATTGAAAGAGGTCTTGGAACCCAAAGACCTAGATTCTATTCCTAGCCCTGCGGCCAACCAGATCTATGACCTTCAGTAAGTCACTAAATCTCTCTAGAAATCGTTTTCCTATAAGTCAAAGGAATGAACAAGATCTCATAGATGTCTTCCATTTCTGAAACTATGATTCTGGTCTCTTGGCAATGGAAAATGCAGGGAGCCATAGCTTCTGCAAGGTGGCATGTAGCTTCTTCTTGAACTTTCTGCTTTCTCTATTGCCCATCTCCTGTCTTCTCACACAGCCCATGTAATTTACATAATATTAGGCTCAAAGGCCATCATTACTCAGCCTTTCTAGCATCTGCACATGAAGATGCCCAGGCATACTTTTGTAGGTAGGATGGGGAGCCAGGCAAAACTAGGTTTTGGAAGAAGAAGCTCTAAGTCGTCATTCATGGATCATCATTCAGATAGCTTAGATATTTTTTACTAACATTTATTAATGCTAAGCAAAATCCAGAGTAAGAAGATATGATTTGCATTTGATCTATTCATATTTTTATTTAAATTGGAGTACATGTGTATACACATTTCAGTAGATTGGGGTTAGACAGAAATTTCCAAGGTAAGTAGTAGCAAGATTTGAGAAGTGATCAAAATAGCATTTTACACTATCTCAGAGAACATTATTAACCTAAATATTCATTATTTGTTATAGTGGGCAAAAATTGAAGGGTTGAAATAGCAGGAGAGGGAATCTTTCCTTGCATTGTTTATTTTTATGCTGGTATATTATTATTCATGTTTCTTTAGATAATGTTAAATTGTTTTAAATTTAAGTTAAGGCATGAATAAATAGCCTACATATTCCCTCGTTAAGGATAAAGTAGCATGACTTATCAGGCCCTGTGTCCGAGGAAATTGTGAGGGGAGTAGGCCCATTTCTTTGAGAGTCATATTCTTTGTTGCACACTCAAGCCCCCTAAGCCATGGGGAACGGCGTTTTGGGAGAAGCTGAGTGCACCCGTGGTGGGTGGATTGCCCAGTGGTAGTATCTTGCTTCAGGCCTCAGGACAGTTGCCTAAGTTTCAACTTAGACCTCCCTCTCAAAGTCAAACCTAAGACCAACAACATTTTTATTTACAGAAATAAAAAGCCCACATAGCTTTCCAATGAGCACATGTTCCTGCCATGTAAAAAGAGAACTTGCAAGGAAAAAGAGAAGCAGACACTGCAGGTGAGGGATGGAGAACTCAGCTGGCTGTTTACTGTGTGGGCATCAGTTAAAGCTGGGGACCTATGGATCCATATACAAATGCCAGGCAATCACACAACTTTCCCAGGGGAGGTAAGAAAGAAGGAACAGCACTGATTTTCATCCTCTGCTTTGTGATCTCCTGACGCAGCTCTGCATTCAAAGTTCCTGAGAGATGAGCCCAAGCAAACTTTGTGTAGGAAAGATTTCAC